ATAACTTAAAATATCGTGACTGAGCTCCTTTAACACAGTTGTTATAAATTTTTGAGGTACATATAGATGGCATAATGGCCAGTTCCCTCTTTGAGATTTCCCTGCAGAGAATTACGGTGGTTGTATTCATCATTTTGGACTGGATATTTGTTTTGATGAATACAATGATTCCCTGGAGGTGTGTCTCGTGGAAGGAATTGCCATTGTTGAAGCAGACCTGTAGCTGATTTTGGCATCTTTTTCTAAAGAATTGGACCAATAGTAGGTAACTGAGTAACTGGCAGTTACAAAGTAGATAGTGATTTTTGCCAGCTACTTTTGACAACCCTGCTTTTAACCCTAAATTAACTCCCCAAAAAGTTATCTAGTGCTGGGCTTGAAAAAAAGTGCTGTGCAGTTATCTTGGACAGGGAGGCTTTCCTGCTGGGCATGGAACTTTTCTTTCTCAATTGCCCAGCTGGGCATTCAAGTCACCACAATTTGAGAACTGCTTGTCCAAAGGGCAAGCTAGAATATAAGTATTTTTTTTTTTAGCCCTGTAGTATGTTTTTAAAGTCTTGAATTCCCATTTTGCATTACAAACAGAATCCACTATACATGTATATACTACATTTACATTTATGTGTAGCTCTAATCCATTTGATCAGTTATGGCCCACTAGGTTTTCGTCAATAGTCTTGAAATCGTAGAGCCACCTGTAAGGCAATATAGTTGCAAATAGTGACATGTCGGATTTGTTTGAATGGTAAGACACAAGGGTTTCATCAACAGATGTCAAAGATAGAACCACCTGGTACCACAAGAAATTAGACCTTAAGACTGTACATGTAGCTATGTGTTCATTGATGGTTATAGTCTAATATTTCAACCACTGAGACTCAAAACATATCCTGTTAATTGATGTGAAGGGATGGGCCAGCTAGGACAAAAAGTTAGGCGCGTAGCACAAAACAGGGCTGGTTGGAGCGCAAGAGTCGAAAAGCCTAATGCACCTCCTGGCATGGAGAGGACTAACTAATTGGTGTAAAAGAGCTAACAGTAGATTGCTAAATCAGTTTTACCTCTTAAAATTTTAGAGAAACCAAAAAGGATACAAGAAGCAGAACCACTGCACAGCCAACAAACAGTGATCTCATTAATGAGCTTGAAAAACAGGAAGAAAAGGATGATAGAAAGGATTATGATGATCTTTTGAAGCGGCTCGAAAAACCTGCACGGAATGTTCCAACGACTAAACCAAGTTCACTTAGTAATGACTTAAGAACAAAAGTCAGTGCAAGTGAAGGAAGTAAACATGTACCAATTACGAAAGACTCTGGTGATTTTGTAGAATCATCAACTACAGCAGCACCTGCATCATCAAGTGATTCGATGGCAAAACTTAAGAGTAAAAGAAGACTTAATAATACTATTGGTGGGCCAGTTATTAGCTCTGGGCTTGCTGGTAAAAGAGACCCTAGGTCCCGGCATAGTACTGGAAGGCTAAGCAGCAGCTTAGGAGCTAAAAGCATTGGAAGTTTGTTTGGGGATGAAGATCAGAGCAAGGAATTGGGTGTTGCACAAACTCCAAAGTTGGATACACAAGATGATGATGTAAGTATATAAAGCTGTATATATATTTAGAAAATAGCCGTATAGAAAACAGAAAATAGCTCTATATATTAAGTTTTAGAAAATAGCCCAAAGAAAATATGCATGCTGATTGGTTAAAAATCATGTGTCTACTGTATATAACTTGATGGAAACACAGGCCCATTGGGCAAGTGAGAATAAAAAGTTACTTGCTCAGTGGAAAAATCTACTCGTCCTGGACGACAAAACGACACATTTTTTGAACCCTGACAGTTAATATGGTTTTAGGTTTGATTTTTCACTTTTGATTTTTGTTAGGTTGACACACGTCATAATGTATATGATGTTCCTCTTGATCAAATTGGGAAAGATCGGCACCAACTGTAAGTAAATGGCCCCTTTTCCGTTCTTACTCTGTTCCTTCCTTCTTTCTTCCCTTTCTCTCTCCCTTCCTCCCTGTTTCTTTCCGCCCCTCCCTTTCTCTACTCGATTCCTCTGTCTGTTTGTTTGTCTGTCTGTCTGTCTGTCTGTCATCATTCATTCCTTCCTTCCTTCCTTCCTTCCTTCCTTCCGTTCATCCTGCTTTTTTCCTTCGTTTTTTCCTTTCTTCCTTCATTCTCAGTTCTCTTACTTTCCTTCCATGTTTACTTCTTTCTAGAAAGTTCTTTTCGTTTGTATGGATACGTGGACGTTCACTGTAAAGTTCTAATTTTACAATAATTATTAGGAATTCTGAACCATTTTACTGTTAAGACTACTATGATATCATTATTTTCAGAGCAGAGGTTTCTCCCAAACAGTCTAGGAAAAGCGCATCTCACAAAAGTTCAACAAGGTTCGATGAACATTTTTCATGAAGTTTTTTATAGTTACAATACTTCACACCAACCTTTTTTGAAATTATTATTAAGTTTTAAAAGCTTCAGCTACACTCTGTATGTTTTTTGGAGGTCCTTGAGACATTTCTTATCTGCTGTTGTTACATTATTTTGCTAAGATTTTGGAAGACTTTCTGCTATTTTAGTACTTTCTGAGTATTTCTTGATGAACATTCTTTCATGGATAATCTTTTCTGTTTAAGAGTAGGCAAATAAATTTAATGCTGAAATTAATTGTACTGATAGTGATTAATGTTAGTTGATTATTGAACTTTAATAATTTATAGTGATGTCACTGAGAGTAGTTTGTAAATTCCCTGTTTTATTTTTTATAATAATAATAGTTATTATTTTTTACAGAAACCAACCTGTCTCCAATTCCAGGTCTCAAAAGGTAATTATTAATGTGTAAAAAATGTACAATGCAGTGTAATACAACACTGGATAAACACTACATCAGACTGACAAGGCACAATCCTTTGAGAATAGCTGTTATTGCAGTTATCAGTGGCTTGACATACAATGGAGGCGAAAGGGTCAATTCTGCATTGTATTGACCCTTCCGCCTCGTTTGCGTGCCTTTTACAACAAAAGAATATTTGACCGCAGACTCAACTGCAATAACAGCTATTGAGTTGAATTTTCCTTGCTATCATTTGGGAGGTAGTGGAACCTATTGTTGGGTTCAGAGCAGTTGGGTATCAAGATCCAAGAGGTACAAATGTTAACAAAACAAACCACGCTATCCAGTGGATAGTGATTTATCTGGTGGATTGTGTTATCCACCTTTTGAACAACCCAGGTCAGATCTTTAGGTGTAATGCTTCTCATTGACATGCTGGAGGGTTAGGGGTGAAATATTTTCAGCAGTTATGTTGCCTGCGCCCCACTGGAAAAAGGAAAAATAATTAATTTTATTTCAAATGATGTCAGTTAGTACATGTTTCCATGGTCTCATTTTTATAGTTCTTTTTATTATATATTTCCAGTCTAGAAGTAGTGATCTAGTGTTTGAAGACGTTGACGAGGACTTTGATCAAGAACTTGGACAGCTGTCATTAGGTACACTGAGTAGATTTTGTGAATGTTGTACTGAACCCTTGGCTTTACAGTTTCAAAGGTTTTTTTTTTTATTAGAAAAGACAGATATCTTCTGGGAGGAGTTTCCTGGTATATCATATTCAACTTTGAGCTAACTATTATAGTTACTGTATTAAACATGATAAGACATTAGTGTTGATTCATAATGTTACTTGTAAGTAGGTTTACTCAACTGAATATGTTTCGGACAGTAAATTTAATGTGTGTAAGGAACATTGTCTAACAATGATGCAACTTATTTTAAGGTCCAAAGAAAATTGCCTCAGCTGATGTTCAGAGTAAACCCATATCTCTTGAAGTTGCAATGGTAAGATATCGTGATAATGTGTATGTATATGGAGGGTAGGGGTAGGAGTTCGGGAGCCTGGAAGTTGAAGGGGTGGGAACTCTATAGAGGGTGGGAGAAGAGAGGGTAGTTAGTGGAATTCCAAGATTATTGTTGTTGAGAAAAAGAGATACAATATTTAATGCAATTGTAAGAAAAACATGGGGGAAGTCCTTAAGGGGAAGTTTAGAACCCTTCTTCCCCAAGACAGCCACTTTCAGAAATATCACAGCTGCATATTAAACTAGAACCTTCTGTCTTTTATTAACTACCAGGGCTTAAAAAACCTCATCTTTGGAACTGCTACAACAAGCTTTACACCTGAATGGAGGAATCAAAGTTTTTCATTCTGTGATCTGTATCGATTGGAATATGGAATTGTACAACTTAAGGTGAATTAGTGCTTTGGAAGTTAATGAGTAATTTAATGTACATTGTATTTGCTAATTCTACACGAAGAAATGGTAACAAAATGGTGGGTGCAATCGTCATCTGGCCTAAGCATTATACTCTCTGGTGGAAAGGCTTTGGTTAATGGCAAGGGCACTGTGAGTAAAAGCACAAGGGAACACTGCTAATCTCTCTTAATGGATCAGACAAACTTCAGCTAATCTAAGTTTGGTTTGATGGTATTACTATTGTGGAAGGGCGGTCGCCGACTGGCTAGTGTGCTGGACTTTAGACCGATAGGTCAGGGCTTGAGCCCTGGTCAGGGTTATTGTGTTGTGTTCTTGGGCAAGACATTTTTCTCTCACAGTTGTATGGACCACTGGCCTGATGCAGACTTAACCATTTTACTACAGTATTGTATGTGGCAGTTATGTGTTATAATTTGTATTGAAATGCAAAGTATGCACAATCTTGACACATACAGTCTCTTTTTTACAGGGTGGACCTTGTGGTGTGCTCGCAGCTGTTCAAGGATTTATCATCAAACACTTGCTGTTTGGAGGCAAAAAAGGCGATACAAAAAAGTAAGCACTTGTTCTCTCTTAAGTCCTTACACAATTTAAGTCTTTCCCACATACATACATACATTCTTTATTCAAGACGCAAAGTTACATTAGTATACATATAAAAACAACAAATAAAAAAAGAAAAGACGTCTCGAAAAGGAAGTTATGAGGTGAACCCTATGTAAAAACTCCCTAAAATAATACGAGAAATACAGAAATCCTAAGTGCAAGCCTTTGTTTGCCTTTGTTTGCAGAATAATTCAGCACTGATGTTGTTTTGGTTTTCTTTAGGAAGCTCCAGCCATCTTCACGAGAAAGAACAAAAGCTCTGACCTCTGCTATCAGTGAAATATTGTGGAGGGCTGGGGATAGTAAAGAAGCTACAGTGGCTTTGTAAGTTTATGTACTGTCTATTTCTCTGCACACTGTCCTACGAACAGGTCTGTAGTGCTTAATAATTTATCACTCTGCACGCAATGCAGACCTAGATCCTAGATAATTCTGACGGTGGTGGTAAAAGCCTTGTTTTGGCAGATCTTTGTTGAAACGTTTACAAAGAGAGGTGATTCGTACTTACGAATGAAGTAGTTGATCTTTAAATGGTATATTGACCAGACTTCAAATCAAAAGCATTACTTGATTTCTTGGGTTGTGCACGTGTTCTTGGACAAGGCACTGTACTCTCATATCCGTAGGACTTATTTCCACTCAGGTTTATAAGGGCAATCTAACAAAGAAAGTGTTGGTAGATACCAGGGTAAGCTGCAGTGGACTAGCATCCCATCCAGGGGGAGACTGGGGACCAGTCCTAGTCACCTGATGCTACATTAAGGTTACCGTAAACCTTCGCGGGTGTCCTTAGCGAAAAAAAATATTACCGCGCTGTCTTAAAGACAACCACTACAAATTATATATCAATGCAAAGGTTATAAAATAATCTATTCGATAAAAATTGTTTTGCCTCAATTTTTTTTAATCATAAGGCGAGCGCGACCTAAAAGCGCGAAACGACCGACGTTCCATTGAGCGAATTTATCGGGTAACAAACTCGACCGCATCAACAAAGCTACTGCATTATATCATTCAATGTCTATTTGTTTTTAGTCAGGTGATTTGTTTTTTCTTTTCGCAGGCCCACAGGTGGTTCTAACTTTTTTGGTGCTGGAAGATACAAACCCGATCAGTTAACTGAGGCGGTAGGCAATAAAATAATTGTTCAACATCAGCTGATCAACCAAATGATTAGTTGTAAAGTACATTGAATTATATCTCTACCAATCAGTATGATTTTAAGGCTGAGTAGCAAGGGCATGCAGTATTTTCTTTCAAATTGTCGCGCAACACTGTTGCATCGCAAGTTCGAACGTTTTACTACGCGTGTCACCATGTAACAAGTTGTGGCATTCAAGTTAGAATTTTGATTGAAGTATTTGAATAACAACGATTTGACTACACCAGTAATTTTCAGTGTAGTTTTGCTCTAGTGTAGTCTTATTTTGTTTTTGTTCCAGCTTGTTTTGTACACTTTCAAGTCGTCAGAAAGTCTTCATAGTTTTCTTTCTCAAAATATATCTCAGGTACGTTCATCTTGTAGAGTTGACATTATGTCATTTTAACCCTAGCTTGTAAACAGAAACGGTCCTCCATCTCAGTGTTGCGTTGGCAAACTAGGTGTTGCCGCCGATACAATACCTGAAAATCTGTGTGCGTTAGCAGGCTAGCTAATTGCTTCAAGCGTGGTTTATAATTGATATTTCAAGCAGTTTTCAGTTGATTTTCCTAAGACTAAAACATTCACAAAGGACACACTGACAATCCAGTGAACAACTCAAAGCAAATACATGCAGCCGACGCGAGGCGCGAGAAAACGTGTGCGAGCGAGTGGTTTCGGGATTAGTTTTACTTTTGATTGGATGACAAAGTGGCGCGAGCTTTTAAGTGAAGATTTAGTCACAAAAGCCAAAGCAAATGCAAATTACTTTCAACATAGATTGCTGGCAGTTTGTTTTACGCTCGAAATCAGGCAGGGATCATGAGGCGAGATAT